TTTATTTGTATTCTGTGAAGTGCCTTCAAAATGATCCTTTGCAAAAGCCCCAATTTTCTAGTTAATTCTTAACTATATTTGTCCCTATTATAAACACCCTTGGCTAGGGCAATGTGAATGCATAAGGCATCCATCTAATACCCACATTATTAGGGGTGCCTAGGTGGCTTAGTTGGTTAAGCATCTGCCTTTGGCTCAGGTCATGATCCCAGGGCCTGGGATCAAGCTCAAGTGGGGCTGGCTTCCTGCTGGGGCCGGGAGGGGGTGGGGGCCTGTTTCTCCCTCTCCCTCTGCCCCTCCCCATGTGTGTGCCCTCCCCTCAACAAATGAATAAAATGTTAAGAAAATCTTAAAAAATAAAATCTACATTATTAGATAATAATATTAAGTGATTAGAAGGTAGGGATTTTTAAAAGGAATGAGAATGGATATAAGTATTTTGGAGGAGGCAGCCTTTGAAGACCTTGCTTGAGATGCTAAAGATTATAGGCATTCTTTTATACACAAAGGATCCCATTAAAGTTTTTGAAAAGGGAGTGACATGATACAGCTTCTGCTTAAATCAAAGTCTCTGGAGGCCAAGGGAGAGCTATTTTGAAGAACAACAAGCTTGAAGTCAAGAGAGAAGTTGCTCAGATAATGAAGTAGAGGAGCTGAGAAAAGATGAATTTGGTCCGTAACACTTTAAAGGAAGAAATAATGGAAATACTGGTAAAAGTTGCAGAATTTCACAACTGGTTAGTCATGGGAATAATCAAATAAAAAGTGTAGTTCTGAGCCAGAGTCTTTTGCAAAATTTCCTTTTGTTTGTATTGCATTATTCCACTCATTGATACTCTCTAAAACTTCAGCTTATTCATATTTAAGGAACCTACAGAGTCTAGTCTCATTTTCTTCACTGAATCACTTTTCAGGGCACTATTGTTAAAGTGTGTTTAGATTTTGTATTGTATCAGCACTTTAGTTTTTAGTTCTATTTATAGGTAATCTGAATTTTTTATTGGATTATACAGTAATTTTCTTTTGGCCTGGTATGCTGACGAATTGTTTTCTAGGAACTATTGCTAAATGAAATACTGCCCCAAATGAGGGGTCATTCACCAACTGCCATTTTATTTTGTTCCTGGATTTCCTCAGTCAGGAATTCAGACAGAGCATAGCAAGAATGGCTTGTCTATGCTTCACGATGTCTGGGGCCTCAGCTAGGAAGACTAGGGCTGGGGCCACTTGAATGACCTGGAGACTTCTGGAGTTTAGTTAGGAATGCCTTGAAGCTAGGGTGGGGTGATCTGAAGACTGGGCTCAACTTGGATTGTTAGCTTGAGTGCTTACACGTAACCTCTCCAAATGGTTTGGGCTGCTTCACAGCATGGCAGCTGGATTCTGAGATGTAGTATCCAAGTGGAAGCATTTAGAGAGTGAGCATTCCCACTGACACAAGTGGAAGTTGCATGGCCTTTAATGACCTACTATCAGCAATTACACAGCATCACATCTGCTTACTTTGTTATTTAAAGCAGTCACAAGGCCATCCAAATTGAATGGAAAGACTCTACCTCAATGTGAAGAGTGTGAATGAATGTTAATCCATTTTTAAAAACTGGTGCAACATTCATAGATGTTCTTCTAGTACTTGCAAATTAGTTGTACTTTCTAATTGTAGTAAGCAAAATCAGCATCTACCTACAACCTCTGTTGTACAACTTCTTGTACTGATATGCTCCGTGTTTTCATCTGTAGGATTAATAATGATAAAATAGGTCTATTATTATTGTTATGATTTTATAGATTATTTCATTTTAGTCAGTTCTCTTTTAATGTAATTTTTTACTCATCTTTGCTATTAAATATTCAGGTATAAATATTGACATCTTCACATTCATCCATTCAATACCTACCATATGTCAAGCATTTTTGGGGAGTAGTGGTCTGTGAACGGTGACTTGGGCCAAATTTGGCTTGCTCCCAGCTTTTGTATGGCTTGTGACCCAAAAAAAGTGTTTTTTTTTTCCGTGTTTAAGTGCTTGGAAAAAATACAAACGAAGTATAATACTCAGGGTGCTTGAAAATTATGTGAAATGTAAAATTGTGCCAATAAATATTTATAAGACTGCAGCCATGTTCATTTCTTTATTTATGTATTATCTACGATTATTTTTGCATCCCAATGATAGAACTGAATCATTGTAACAGAGACCACATGACCCACAAAGCCTAAAGTATTTACTGTTTGATCTATTACAGAAAACATTCACCAGCACTTCTAGGGTATGCAGTATTGATAAATTCTCACTTTCAGGGGTTTATATTTTAGTGAGGAAATCTGACAATACACATATATGAGGGCTGAGAAGGAAAAGAAGGCAGAGAAGGGGGATATGTAACCTCAAGACAGGGGACTGAAATTTTGGCCAACGCAGTGTCACTGTGATGGTGAATTTTCCATAAAGACTTGAAGGAGTTAATTCGGGAAATAGCCTTCCAGGCAGATGGAACAGCTATTGCAAAGGTTTCCTATGTGGCTGAAAGTGAAAAGAAGGGTAAGTTATAGGAGATGAAGTCAGGTAAAGTTGGGCCAGGAGATTTAGGCTCCTGTTGGTCATAGGAAATAAGCATGCTTTTATTTTTGAGGTCCAGGATTTTGAGCACAGAAGTGATCTCATCTGAATGTTGTCTTAATTGGGTCATTCGTAAACAAATGTGTTCCCTTTGAATTGTGCTGTATTACTATTATCTCTTTTTGTTTCTTTGTATTTGAAGTGGATTGATTTACATTTGCTTATGTCTTTATTTTTATTATTTTTTTTAGAGAGAGAGAGTAAATGCACATGCCCAAGCAAGCAGATGGGGGTAGAGGGGCAGAGGGAGAGGGAGAGGGAGAGAGAGAATCTTAAGCAGGCCCCATGCCCATTGTGGAGCCTGATGTGAGGCTCGACCTCATGACCCCGAGATCGTGACATGAGCTGAAATCAGGAGTTGGCTGCTTAACCAGCTGAGCCACCCAGACACCCCAACCTATGCTTTATTTTTAGCATTACTTTATCTTTTTGCTCAAATAAATTTAAGGCATGTTGGAGGTCAATCTAAACTTTACAAGTATTATTACAATTGTTTTCATCATATTTTTTCCTTAAAAATAATTATTTTATTTGTGATTTCTTTTTGAATTTATGTATACCCCATTAATGGGGAAGAAAAACATTTGTAGGTAAGGATTTTTTTTTCTTTTGGAGTTTTAAGTATCCCTGAATTCTCTCTTCCCCTTCATTGAAGATTACATTATTGTTACCAATTATTTGGTGTTCTTTACAGAGATTGTAGAGAGTGTTGTTCCATCCCACAGTGTTGTAATACCAACTAGGTGATGCTCATCAGTGTTAGGTGGAAGATCTAAGAGCCTCTGTCATGGGGCTGGACATTCCATATCAGAAGCTCTCTTTCAGTTTGGATCTCAGAGTACGGAACCAAGGTTTGACCCACAAGTACTCTTCCTCAGAGCCTCCAAAAAAAGGAATCAATATCGTCATTCCCTTGATTTTGAACTTCTAGTCTCCGGAAGCATGAGATAATAAATTTTTGTTTTAGGGCACTAAATTTGCTTTACTTTGTTATAGCAGCCCAAGGAAACTAATGTACTGAGGCATAATTTAGATTTTTAAGATCAGAGATAGGTAGCTTGGAACTTAAAATTGTATAAACCATTCCCATCTAGAACATTAGATTTGAGAAGCCTCTCATTTTCCAGATCATCTACAAAATCTGGCATTTAGAAGATAAAGATACTGAGGTACAAAAGGTTGGCTTGGCTTATTTTAAGTTTTGTGTGTATGGAATCTGGTTCCATATTCCCCAACACAGAGCCCAGACAATCCTGAATGGATAGAAAGGTAGTGGTAACTATTGCTAAACTATCAATTTTCACTTGTAAATTAGACATGATGAAATAGCATTAACTGAAGATTCACAATGAGTTCACATTTTAATGAAGACTGGCAGGTAATCAAATGTTGAAATAAATATATGAAGGAGCACTGTGAGCATATAGAGGTGAGAATAGCAAAAGTAATAAGACTAGAAAATCTGGTCCTATCACATTTCTTCTGAAATTAAAAAGTTTATTATAATGGGCTAAATGGATATGGTTCATTCATTTCTTTGTACAGTAGAAATGACTTCTAAGAAAAACCAGTGTGAAAAATAGGAGAAGAATCTGGAAGAAACAAATATGAAAAATAAAAACCATCTTCACATTGAATATCCTCTACTAATTCATAATTTTAGAGAAATCAGACATTTTCCTACACCTAAATTCAATTTTTTCACCCGTGCAACTATGCTTAGTGTTATGCTTTATAGGATGTTCTCCTATAAAGAGGAAGTGACACAGGGACGAAAGATGTAAGATCTAAGAAGGAGGGGTCATGACACAGAAGAGTAGTGAATGGAAGCCCCAGAGTGAAAGAAAGGTAAATCCTAGAATGACAGACCTAGAGAAAAGCTATCTGGGTTAGAGCAACAAGACCATAGCTCTGAGACAAAGGTCTCCATGGGGGGAAAATAAATGACAATTATTTATTATTTTTGAATATTATTATTAAAATGATCTATTATAATCATTACTAAGTCTATTATGATCATTATTAAAAATGACCTCTTATGATATGCCATTTCAAGTAAGGAGAACTTGTAAGAGGTATATGAGAGATCTGATGAAATATTTGGAAAAGTAATGAGGACAGGTATATAGGTATCTATGTATGACTAGCAGAATAATGCCAATTATTAATTCTAGTAAAAACAAAATGTAAAGAAAGGATATGTAATTATAATGCAATAATTGGCTTAGTGAATAACATTCACTTACATATAATGAAATAGACAGATGTCATTGATTAATTGAAAATGTAGGTAACTCTATTGGGACTATGGAGAAAACAATTTTAAAGTACTTTCTTGTTATCTATTGCTACATAAAAAATTACTCCCAAACTTTGTGGCTTTAAACAGCAAACATTTTATTGTTTATTGATCCACCTCACACTTCTGGTAGATCAAGAGCTTGGAAGCAGCTTAGCTGGAGGGCTCTGGTTCAGGGTCTCTCATGATGTTATAGTCCAGATGTTGGCTGGGTCTGCAGTCTTCTGAAGACTTGGCTAGGGCAGGAAGATATGCTTCCAGACTCACACAGCAGCTGGCAGGAAGCCTAAGTTCCTCAATGGATGTTGGACAGGTGCCTCCGCTCCTCACAACATGGCAGCTAGCTTCTCCCCCTGCAAGTGGCCTGAAAGAGAAAGAGAGAAAGAGAGGAGAAAACCATGACAGAAGCCACAGTCCTTTTTGGACCTGATCTCCAAGTCAAACAGCGTCATTTCAGTTTTGTTCCTTTTGTCAGAACCAAGTTACAAATTTCAGCCCACACTCAAGAAGAGGAGGATTAAGCCAAGCAGAGTATTAGGGAATCTATGGACATATTTTTAAATCTACCTAAGAATTTTGATCAGTTATAAAGAGTGTCAAAAGATAAATTAAATCTGACTGATCAAAAGAGTTGTATAAGCATTTTATTTTAAAATTTCAAAGTAAAGGGACACCTGGGTGGCTCAGTAGATTAAGTGTTCAACTTGTAATTTTGGCTCAGGTCATGATCTCAGGGTTGTGAGATTGAGGCCTATGTAGGGCTCTGTGCTGGGGGTGGAGCCTGCTGAAGATTCTCTCTCTCTCTCTCTCTCTCTCTCTCTCTCTCTCTCCCTCTGCCCCCTCGCCCTCTGCTCATGCAAACATGCTCTCTCTCGAAAAAAAATTAAGAACTATTAAAAAACAGCTAAAAGAGGCAAAAGTGATTGTCTTTGGGGAGGAGAAGTGAGGAGGGAGGAGGAGGGAGGTGAGGGACTATTTTTTTGTATTGTTCTTACAGCCTTTTCATAACTATTTTATTAAAACATTTTTATTTTTTTATTTTAAAGATTTTATTTATTCATGAGAGAGAGAGAGAGAGAGAGAGAGAGGCAGAGACACAGGCAGAGGGAGAAGCAGGCTCCACGCAGGGAGCCCGATGTGGGACCCTATCCCGGGACTCCAGGATCACGCCCTGGACCAAAGGCAGGCACTAAACTGCTGAGCCACCCAGGGATCCCCTATTAAAACATTTTTAAATTAAAGACAAAGAAATAGGGAAAATGGAAAATAGAAAAACCTTCTCACCATGTATTTGTTATTTATCATTTAAGCCTTCTTTATAGAAAACTAGTATTATTCCAGGCTTTGAGAATCATAGACCTAAAGAAAGAAAGGAAAGTGTTAATGAGACTCTTCTTATTTTCCTGAAAGGAAGGGAAGGGAATGGAAGGAAGCAAATAGTAAGAGAAGAGGAAAAGGAATGGGAAAAGGAAAAAAGGTAGTTCTGTTTTTCCTTCAAAGTCACCATATTTGACAGCCCTTTAATATCCTGTGAAGTGTAAGATAATTAATTAAATTTAAAAAAGAGACATTATAAACCAGTTTTCAAGGAGCTTGATTAATATTTGTTGAATGAATTAATTGTTTTCCAAAGACCTAACACATAAATGCTGTCAGTTCTCCAATATATTGAGTTTCCCACAATGATAGTAGGTGAAAGTAATTCTTATATTCCCAGGGAAAAATCTCATCTGTGGGCTTTCTTGTTTTTATTTCTATTTTGTGTACATTTTTTTTTTTTACTCCATAGCCCCAAATACTGCTTCAGATTTATAATTTTGAAAATGTGTCCGTCCAACTTCAGGCTGTGCTCTAGAGTAGGCAACCGTCACTCCTGTTCTAAGGTGGATCCAGGTGGGCTTATCTTTCCTAGCCTGGGGTAATTGCTCTGTTGAATCCTCTCCTGTCTCTCATGTATACACACACATGCACACACACACACATATGTTGTATGTGTGTGTGAGAATGTGCATTCAGCCCAAAGTGACAGCAAGGACCAACAGTGAGTTAAACAAGTAAGGAATTTTCTTTTTTAAGATTTTATTTATTTATTCATGAGAGACACAGAGAGAGAGAGAGAGAGAGAGAGAGAGGCAGAGACACAGGTAGAGGAAGAAGCAAGCTTCCTGTAAAAAGCCTGATGTGGGACTTGATCCCAGGACCCCAGGATCATGACATGAGCCAAAGGCAGAAGCTCAACCACTGAGCCACCCAGGTGTCCCATCTTTTTTTCTTTTTTAAAAAAATATTTTATTTATTTATGTATGAGAGAGAATATAGGCAGGGGAGGGGCAGAGGGAGAAGCAGGCTCCTTGCAGAAAGCCTGATGTGGGGCTTGATCCCAAGACCTTGAGATCATGACCTGAGTTGAAGGCAGTTGCTTAACTGAGAGAGCCACCCCAGTGCCCCGGATGTTTCGTTTTGTTTTGTTTGTTTTTTCATGTAAAAAGTATTCAGGGAATAGGCTTTCTTTGTCTTCTTTTTCCTTTATATTTGGCCACTTTAAGATGCAATTTCCAGGGGCACCTGGGTGGCTCAGCATTTGAGCGTCTGCCTTTGGCCCAGGGTGTGATCCCGGAGTCCTGGGATGAAGTCCCACATCAGGCTCCCTGCTTCTCCCTGTCTGTGTCTCTGCCTCTCTCTGTGTGTGTGTCTCTCATGAATAAATAAATAAAATCTTAAAAAAAAAAAAAGCAATTTCCAAGTTGATCATTATTGCCTCAAGGTTTCAGAATGGCTGCTCCACCTCTGGCATTGCTTCTGCATTCCTGCAGGAAGAAGGAGGAAGATTCAAAGCAGCATTTGTAAGGCAGCTAAGTCTCTTTACCATTAAGGAGCTTTTTTTTTCAGAAGCTCACTTATCTGTCTTGACCAAACCATGTTCTGATATGCTCAGATATGATCACCCCTCAATGTAAGGAAAGCCGGAAAACTTTTTTCTCCAGTTGTTGCTGTTTGTTTGTTTTTAATCTGGACACATTGCTACTCCAGCAAATTGTTTGCAAAAGTGATGATTAGGTCTCTCCTTTTTTCCACTCATTCAACGTGAAGTTGAACTGCGTCTCACAAAGAGGTGGAGTCTCTTTGGCCATTTTTTTATGTCTGGGCTTGCCTTAGATATTGTTTTGGCCAATAGGACAAAGGGTAAATGGTATTGTGCAAGCTCCTAATCCAGGCGTCACAGGGATGTTTACTCTTTGTCTTACTCTCTCAGAACTGTATGGATCCACTAGGTGAACAAATCCTGGCTATCCTGCTGGATGGTGAGATTCATATAGCTCAATCACCTCTGTTACCAAAACCAATAGCTAGCCAATCTTTAGGTCTCAGACATATGAATGAAACTCACTGAGACAAAAAAAAAACCTTCTGCAGCTGTTGACTCATCAAACCATAAATGGTGGTTGTTTCTAGCCACTAAGTTTTGAGATGGATTATAATGCATCAAAAGCTGACTGATACAGTTGCCCTAAGTAAAATTAGGGCTTTCTTGGTAAGGGAGAAGGTAAAAAAGGCAGATAATTAGGTAGCTAGTTACATTTGTCATAGGGTGTTCCAGTATTTTCCAACTCTATGGTATTCTGGGGGCTCAAAGAAACTGATGTCTCTTTTATTTTTTCCAAAAATTCAATAAAGATGTTCTTGCTTCAGCAGTGCATATGAAAAAATTCAATAAATAGGATGCTTATTTAACTACTATTTTAAAATAAGGCTGAGAGATTTGGGATGCATATCAAGTGGGCAAGTACTAAGATTAGTGGACAGCAGATGAGCATGTGTGGGCTGCGTGGCTCCCTTAGTTTCTTACTCAGGTGAATACCTCCAGACCTTATGGTGGTTTGGGCCTTCATCAGGTTTAGGTGTTTTCATTCTGAGTCATATATTGTTTAGTATCTGTCCAGGTGGGACTGATGGTTAGGTGGGAAGATTAAGACATGCTGATGTTGAAAACAAATTAAGAGTCACATAAAAATCCCATTAAGATTGTCTTCACCAGGGGATCCCTGGGTGGCTCAGTGGTTTGGTGCCTGCCTTTGGCCCAGGGCGCAATCCTGGAGTCCCAGGGTCGAGTCCCATGTCGGGCTCCTGGCAAGGAGCCTGCTTCTCCCTCCTCCTGTGTCTCTGTGCCTCTCTCTCTCTCTATGTCTATCATAAATAATAAATAAATAAATATTTTTTTAAAAAAAGATTGTCTTCACCAGATCTGCAGGCTACAATCATATTATCTATTTCTCAAATAGCTTGGAAGCTTTCCATGGCACTTAAGAAATCAATGATAAAAAGGGAAAATATAGCAATGATTATTATTTCTAAGTTGGCATATTATTTATTGAAATAAGAATTAACCATACTTACACAGTGATTTGCAAAGAATTACTTCTAAATATGAACCAGAAGCCTTCTCCCACATTTACTTACTTTGAAACACAACTGGAAAGTTATAAAAATAAACTATTCTATTTTTTATGAAAAATGCAAGAATCTCCAGTAGCTACTCGTAAAAATTAGTATTTTGTGGTGGTATTTACATTGAATGCTGTGATATGAAATTATGTTTCAAACTATAGTTTTATACATATTCATTATGAAAAAAAACTAAAAAAACTAATCATGACATAATATGTTACTGTTTTTGTTTTATTTTTATTTTTGACATGTCGTTGATAATTAAATCAGCATGTCTCTTGCTAAATGAGGATGCTTAAAATATAACTATATATTGGTATATAATCATTAAACACTTTAAAAGAAATATATATGTACATACATATGTTTAAATCATAGTTACTTAGCTTGTATTTTACTTAATGTTGTTTAGCATAAATATCTGAGGATAAATAATGGCTCCATAATGGGATAGCAAAGATAACTAATGAAAATCCTGCCTCATAGATGTGTTGCTTCAAGGCTGTGGGTGTTGCCCCCGACTCTGCACTATTTACCTCATTCATAATTTGTTTCTGCATCAACCCCTTGCCTTTGACAGAGGATGAGGCATTTGCTGAGTTAAACATGGCGGACTCACCCTCACATGGTTGGTTTCCTCCATCTGGGAATCCTCCTTGCTCCCCATGTTTCACAGCCATGTGTTGCTTCTTTGTTTCCAAATGACCTTTCCTGAGCAAATCCTTTTTGTATTAAGGATTCTCTAGGAGTTGAGGGTGAAATTAATTTGGCAGGTATGATTCTTATTAGAATTTATTTCTGAAAAAAAAGCATCTGGTAAAGAGGCACCAATGCAGTGGGAAAGTGCTGAAATTTTTCTGAGGCTAAACAGGACAAAAAGTAATGAAGTCCATCCTCTTGATTTTCTTCCAGAGGGTAGTGGACATCTGAAGTGTCAATCTACTTTGATATTCTTAGTCAAAAGGCTATTTAAAAGAAATCCATATAAAACAATGATGTTCTGTGCAGATGCAGAAGAGCCTTCATTAAGGACCTCCACATATTTCAGAACTCAGTGCTGCCCTAATTCATGAAGGCTTTGCTCTGTGAGTGTCCCCACGTGTAGCAGGTCTTGGTTTCCTTTTTTAGTGTCAGGGACTAGAGCAGAGGGGAGTCAGGGGGCTTCCCTAGCTTCCCACAAAGTTGTAAAGAACAATTACTGAAGGGTCAACACTAGAACCTATTTACTTTAAAAAAAAAAGATTTTATTTATTTACTTGAGAGAGAGCAAGTGAGAGAGAGTGAGCGAGCACACAAGTGGGGAGGAGGGACAGAGAGAGACAGAGAAGCAGACTCCCTGCTGAGTGGGGAGCCCAATGCAGGACTTGATCCCAGGGCCCCAGGATCATGACCAGAGCTGAAGGCAGGCACTTAACCAACTAAGCTACCCAGGTGCCCCCGGAACCTATTTTAAACTCACTTGACATAACTGTGTTTTCTGGATACATAGCCAAGATTTTTCTACATAACAATGTGTCCATTCTTCAGGTTCTTACTCTGACCTCATGTACCTCCAAGAATGAGTACAGGTAAGGCTTTTTTTTTTTCCAGGAAGGCCAGAATAAAAACATTTTATAGTTCTTAAATTTTTATAAGGTTCTTATTTCTAAATTGGATTCTATACCTGTTGAGGGCTTGGCTATATTTTATTCTACATTCTGGCCCCAAATCTATATTAGGAGCACATATGTTTATCTGTATCAGGGGCATACAAAAATTTTTCATAAGAATATTAAAGGATAAAATGGGTATGTTTGCAGTTAGAGGCCAGGGCTTCTGATATATGTGCCTTAGAGGAAGGTGGTAAGGATATTTCAGAACTCAGATGATTGGTACAAAATCTTGGCGGGTGTATGACTGAGGGTATTTTAGAT